AAAAAATTTTATGGTCATATGAGACCACATTTAAGAAAGATGGGTACATGAACCTGCATAACTTACACGAGTGGCACGTAGCAAACCCACATTTGATGAGAGAAGATAAATCTCAATCTCGCTTCAAGATAAACCATTGGACAGGAATTTTAAATGGTAAAATAATCGGTCGGTTTGAGTTCCCAGAGACTTTGACTGCTGAAGTTTATTTAGATTTTTTGAAAAATCTTGTACAAAATTTATTGGTGGACGTGCCACTGAGTATTTACAGGGACATGTGGTTTCAGCATGATGGATGCCCAGCGCACTATGCACTCTCAGTGAGAGAGTATCTCGATCAAAACTTTCCAGGCAGATGGATAAGGCGGTCTGGTACAATACCGTGGCCAGCCCGATCACCTGATTTGAATCCTTTAGATTTTTTTACTGGGAACTGTAAAAGAAAAAGTGTATTTCAAGCCGATTCAAAATGTAGCTGAGCTACGGCAACGACTATTGGAAGCAGCTGAGTTTGTTAATAACCGTGGATTCGCTCGTTTAATAACCCGATCTTTTTTAAGAAGATGTCGAGCGTGTATTGCGGCTGAAGGAAAACAGTTTGAGCATTTGCTGTAAAGGTAAATCATCATCAGCAGCATTTTGACGCCCACTGTTGTGCAAACAGTTATCCTTAATGGTCCTTGTGCGTTTTCATAATCGCTGTTTAATTAGGAAATTTTGAAAAGTTTTCATCAGTTTTTCTTCAAATAAAAATTGTGCATAAGTTAACGAGTAATCTTCTAAGTGTTATACCATTTTGTAATCCTTATTAAATGCGCCAACTTTTAAGGTTACTTGCCAAACTGTCTTAGTACATTTTTTCCAGTACAGCCAGTTAAAGTTGAGCAAAGCTTTACTTTGGAATACTTGGTTGGGAAATAAGTGGCAATTTTTCCTGAACGAGAAAAGTTGGCAGTAAGGTTGAGACACCAGTTTGAAGATGCGTTATTCATCATTACATTGTAAAAATAAAATCCAAAAAAAGTTAATATTTGTAGTAACAGGAGTTGACAGACTGCCGTAGGGTGTGAAATTTCTATATTTTTTTCAAAGACCTATAATTTTCAAAACACATACATAAATTTTTTTTAAATATTTTTCTGATAGCTGTTATGACTTTGTCTATCACCCGGTTTCGGCTTGACGTCGACTTCTGGGACACCCTGTAGATCTGTACCAGCATTACAGAAACGACTAGGTGCATAGATGCCAAAGATCAGAATTTCGCATCGACATTATTATTCTTTTATTATTCTTAGCCCTAAAGCTACTTCCTATAGTTTATAATAGTGTTTTACTCCAGTAATAAACAAAAAAACAGTAATTCTAGATTCCCTTAAAATCATAGTAACTGCAACCACAGTAAATGCAACAATAGCAAATGCGAGATAATGACATACAGTTATCTTAACACAGAAAGTACATATATTATGCCAGTTTATCTAAATACAAATTGCTTAACCTTACGAATAAATATATTTACAGACGTCGCTTCTCTAATTTCTGTAGGTAATGCATTAAAAAGTCTCAAACCATCACTAAAAAGACATTTTTGCATATGGGATGTTCTAGCGAATTCTATGTCAAAAGTGTTACGTGACCTGATATTATATGCATGCCTCTCGGACCTCGGTATTAGATATTCCTGCAAGTATTCAGGCAATAAATGATTTTTTGTTTTAAAAATAAATAACACATTTGACATTTCAACCTTTTGCTGTATTGAAAGCCATCCGAGGGTTTTTACCATTAAATTAATAGGCGTATAACGTGTACAAAATAATATAGTGCGCATAGCCTTATTTTGTAGTAACTGGAGCCTTTGAATATCAGTTTTTTTGCATGATAGCAACAATGAAAAACAATAATTAAAATGTGGATATATGATGGTATTATATACAAGAAGACGACTCCAGTGACTTTCAGATATTCGCCTAAAAAATCCTATTTTTTTCCCAATTTTTTTACTAACATAATCAACATGCAATGAAAAATTTAGCTGAGGATCTAAAACTACGCCCAAATACTTCATACTAGATGCACTTTCAATTTGAATATTATCTATCTCAATACAAAATTTCTTTTCTAAAAATGTATTACAGTTCTGCTTTGTCCCAAAAACCATGTATTTTGTTTTTTCTACATTCAACTTAAGCCTATTCACACATAACCAGTTATACAGAATTTCCAGTATTGAGTTCATACTATCTACAACTTGTCTAAAATCCTTACCGTACACATAAAGCAATGTATCGTCTGCAAATAAGCTCAGAAATGTATTTACTAAAACCCTGTTCAAGTCATTTATATAAAGTAGGAACAAAAGCGGGCCCAACACACTACCCTGAGGTACCCCAATTTCACTATCAATTGAATTTGACGCCACGTTATTAATCTTCGTCACATGACAACGGTCTTTCAAGTAGTTCATAAACCATTTTAGTGCACTGTCTGTAATCCCATAGGTCTGCAATTTCTGGATCAGTCTTTTCCTATCAATAGTCTCAAATGCACGATGAAGGTCGATGAATACACTTAACACAATATTCCCGTCATGAATGTATGAACGCCATTTCGAACACACATACTGCAGCGCCGACTCGCACGAGTGTTTTTCCCGAAATCCCGACTGTCCCTTAAACAACAGTTTTCTTGCCTCCAGAAACTCCCGTAACTGCGCACAAATCTCGGTTTCCAAGATTTTGTCTATCACTGGTAACAAGTTAATGGGTCGGTATTGAGCTGGTTTATTTGGTGAGGACACTTTTGGAATAGGCACTATAACACTAGTTTTTATTGCTTTTGGTACTTTTCCTGTTGTAAGGGATGCATTGATCAAGTGAAGTAAAGGGTATCCGAGTACACAAAAAGCCGTTTTCAAAAACTTAACAGTACAAATATCATCCGCTGTTGACTTGTTTTTAAGTTCCATTACCCTTTTTCTAAGTTGATCACTGCTTATAGTGTTGAAGCTTGACAGACCATCACTTAACTGTGGCAATTATTGAAATGTCGGTGCAACTTTTGGTATTTTGTCGGCTATTTCCTTTATGCTTTTTGCATAAAAATTGTTAAAATTGTCTTGAACAGATCCAGCATCTTCCTCAAATTCAATATTATCATATGACAGAACATTCTTGTTTTTGCTGCCTACACTTGCTTTAAAGTTTGCCACATTTTTTTGCTATCCCCCTTGCATTGGTCAATAGTAATTTCATAATATTTTTTCTTTTCGTTTCGAATAACACGAGCGTAAATGTTCCTTTTTTTCTTATACAGATTCCAGTCTGAATTTAATTTGGTTATTTTAAACTTTTTATAAGCTTCATCCCTGTCTCTTCGGGCTTGGATTACGAACCTATTTATCCACGGTTGTTTGCGGGTTTGAGTGTTTTCAAGAGGTACAACTTTATTTACAGTTTCTGTAATATTTTTCATAAACTTTTCATATAATAGGTCCACATCTGTTGTTGAATAGTCCCAATCTTTTCCGTAGAGTTCAGCTATAATAGTGTTAATATTTTCCTTATTAAATTTTCGTTTATATTTCATTTCCTCTGTTTTAATCTCATGTTGCACATCCAATACGCAGCCTATAATTCGATGATCTGAAATTTGTGGAAAATCACCCGTGATTTCTTCAAGCAAGTAATTGTTAGTCACAATTAAATCAATCAGGGTGGCTGACGTATTTGTCACTCTAGTGAACTCTTGCACTATTTGTGTAAATCCTGCATCTGATACGATGTTTATTAATTTTTTTTGGCTTGGGTTCTCGGTCTCTAAGCGAATATTAAAATCTCCCAAAAAAATACTTTGATGAGTTGTAATCAAATCATCTTCCAGTAATTCCTCAAAAAATTGGAAAAATAAGTCCATGCTACCGTTCGGAGATCTATACAGTGATCCAACAATTATATTTTCCAATCCTAGCTGAACATTTAAGCATAAGAACCAAAAATGGCCGTGACGTACGACATTCTTTACAACTGTAGAAGTAACATTGTTTTTTACATAAATTATCGTTCCCCCTGTATGACAACTTTCAGCATGGGCAATGTAGTGACTATAGCCATTATATTCGGCCCCGTCTCGAAAAATAGTAATACGTAGTATCTCCATCTCTAGCGAATCGGTCATACATTTCAAAGCAAACATAACCCCTCCCGCCGCTCCCCGCTGCCGTCATCGTACTCAGTCTTCATTTGTATGCGAAAGGTTACGGGCGAACTGCCGCGCAGAAATCAACTCGCCGCCGTCGTACCGTTTAGTGGTGAATTTTTCGATAATTGTGTTTTCAAGTGTTCAAACTATGCCGAAGCGGTCTAGAAAGAGGAGTCGTAGCTCTTCTCCTTCCACGGTAGGGGAAAAGTTTTTGAAAATTGTCAAGAGATTGGAGAAGCGATTGGATAAGATGGAAGAGAAAAGACCAAGGCGATGGCATCATGGCAGTTCATCAGGAACCTCTAATTCCGAGGACGGATCCGATAGCCACTCATATGATAGGCGTTCCTATTCAGGATCGGAAGCTGACGGTGGATCAGATATAGGAGAAAAAGAAGGTGATTATCTTAATTCCTTCATGGTGTATAATTTCAGTGGTTATGATACCACTGGTCCATACTCAAGTGGGGTATTAGTTTGATTGTTCTACATACGCTTTGGTCAAGACTGATTATGGCATCAGTTTGTTTTGTTTATGATAACAAACGTTGAAAAACTGGTTATGGCATCAGTTTGTTTTGTTTATGATAACAAACGTATACCTGAGCTAAACTGATTATGATGTCAAGTTTTCTGTTTATGACAGCAGATGAATAGTAGGTCTGATTTAAACATTTTGTTGGATTATAACTATGTAATTTTAATACATTTGAAACATGGATGTGTATGTATGTGTATATATGTGTATATATATATATGTGTATATATGTATATATATACTTTTTTGGGTTTTTTTGCCACATTATATTCCAATATTAATGCAACTTCAGCATTCCGGAGAACTCCATTGATCAATATGTAACAAATGAGGGAAATAATGTTGGCGAACTTAATGGTGGCATATTGTTAGCCTTGGGGCACGAAGTGGAATTGCCAGAAACTAAGGGCCCCTCTATCCAACAGGATGTAGCCGACAGATGGAAAACGGTAATTAAGAAAGGATTGGAAGATGAAAAGAGGCGTGATATTATGAAAAAGTACCCTCCTCCAGAGAATGCCCATAATTTTGGAGCCCCAAAGCTAAATGCGGTGGTTAAACAAGCTATTGTGGATTCGGTAGCAAAAAGAGATTCTCGTCTCAGTTGTCAGCAGGCTCAAGTAGGATCTGGCTTATCTGCAATTGCAATTGTTATTTCAGACTTATTGAAAACAGAGGGAGGAAATACAGAACTAATAGAAAAATTAAGCGATGCGGGACGCCTTTTGTCGGATGTCCCCCATACACTCAGTGTATCTAGAAAGGAGCTTGCCATACTAAACTTGAATAAGGAATGGAAAGAGACTCTAATTGATTCTCCTGTTGATGAATGGCTCTTCGGGGAGGATTTGGAAGAAAGATTAAAAGCTGCAAAGAGTCTACAGTTTTCATCCAAGCAATTGAAAATAGTTAAAGCGCCACAGCCAAAGAAAACTATTTCAAAAAATACTTTAAACTACAGAAGTCCATCCAGTTATCAACGGGGAGCCAAACTAGGTGGACGATATCGCCAAGATCCCAGCAATCATAATCCCAGCAATCCAGGTTCCAGCAAGCAGTACAACTCTCGGTACAATCGCCAGGGGGAATATCCTCGACTGGGTCAATACAAGAATGCGAAGAAATACCGCAAGTATTAGAGGTAAATAAGATTGCGGGACGTTTAAAGTATTTTACAGCTCGCTGGTTACAGTTTACCAAAGATACACGTATTTTGTCTTGGTTAAAAGATGTTAGGCTACCCTTTCTTAAATTACCTAAGCAAACAATAGTTCCAAAAGAACAAGAATGGTCTGTAAAAGAACAGGTTATAATTTCGAACTCTATTGAAAACTTATTGCAAATGCAAGCCATTTCACAGGTGGAACCTTGTGAGGGTCAATTTATATCAACCATTTTTATAATTCCCAAGGCAGATAGTACTTTTCGTCTAATATTAAATTTAAAAAAGTTAAATGTTTTTTTAGAAACAAACCATTTTAAGTTAGAAGACCATAAAACGGTTTTCAAGTTGCTTACCCAGAATTGTTTCATGTCTAAATTAGATCTAGAGGATGCATATTACCTAGTTCCTGTGAGCAATAAGGATAGAAAATATTTAAGGTTCTATTTTAGGGGACAACTTTATCAATACAACTGCCTTTGCTTTGGTATAAATTTTGCCCCAATGTTATTTACAAAGTTAATGAAGCCTATTGTGTATTATCTCAGGATAAAAGGATTTACGTCAGTGGTATACTTGGATGATTTTTTATTAATTGGTAGGACCTATGATGATTGTTTGCTAAATGTCTCTAGCACTGTTTCTATTTTAGAACATTTAGGATTCATTATTAATCATAAGAAGAGTGTCTTAGTCCCTTCAGAGACTTGTGTTTATTTAGGTTTTCAGTATAACTCCTTATATATGACTGTTTCAATACCAATAGAAAAGCGTCAGAAACTGATCGAAATATTGAAACACTTTAAGAACTGGAAACAGTGCAAGATTAGGGATTTCTCTAAAATAATAGGGAGATTAATATCTGTATGTCCAGCCATAAGGTATGGGTATTTATACACGAAATCAATGGAGCGAGAAAAATATTTAGCTCTTAGACAACATAATGGGTCTTATAATGCTGTAATGAAAATTTCTAATAAAATTGTTAGTGAAATTGACTGGTGGATAAATAAATTAGAAATTAATACTGCAAATTTTATTAGAAAGGACAAATTTGAAAAGGTAATTTTTTCAGATGCGTCTAATACTGGCTGGGGTATTTACTGCGATAATATTATTTCACACGATTTTTGGTCTGAAGAAGAGAAAAATAATCATCATATAAATTATTTAGAATTACTGTCGGTTTTCATTGGGTTAAAGTGTTTTGCTAAAGATCTATCTAATTGTTCAATTTTATGCAGGGTAGACAACACTACGGCTATGTCGTATATAAATCGCATGGGAAGTGTGCAATATCCAAAATTAAATGATCTTACCCGCAAAATTTGGCAATGGTGCGAACGTAAGAATATTTATTTGATGGCTTCATATATTAGGTCATCAGATAATGTGGAAGCTGATAGGGCTTCACGTGAGTTGAAAATCGACACGGAATGGTCACTTCATAACTCGGCTTATAATAAATTGACCGCAGTGCTAGGTAACCCAGAAATTGATCTTTTTGCCAGTCGGATAAATAATAAATGTAGGAAATATGTTTCATGACTTAGGGATCCTGATGCTATGGCAATAAATGCTTTTACCATACACTGGGGAAAATTTATTTTTTACGCTTTTCCCCCATTTTCAGTAATTTTAAGTACCCTACAGAAAATAATTAATGACCAAGCAGAAGGGATCATGGTTGTGCCCAATTGGCCAGCACAACCGTGGTATCCAGTTTTTACGTCTCTGTTAATATCTGAACCTATGATTCTTGAACCTAAACCAGACTTATTATCTTTTGGCAGAATTCCACATCCGCTATCGGAACACATTTCCCTGATGGCAGGTCGATTATCCGGGAAGCGCTTAAGCTAGGCAAAGTGCCAACCGACTCCTTGGAGATTTGCATGGCCTCAATCTCAGAGTCTACCTTAAAGCAATATAGTTCGGGTTTAAAACTATGGTGGGAGTATTGCTCTACCAAGAAAGCAGATCCCTATTCGGTTTCAGTAGTAACCGTCTTAGAGTTTCTAACCAATCATTTTAAGAAAGGAGCATCTTATAGTTCTTTAAATACTTATCGGTCTGCTATAGCTCAAGTAGCGGGGCGAGACTTGGCACAGGATTACAGGATTCAGAAATTGTTCAAAGGAGTCTATATGCTTAGACCAAGTTTACCGAAATATCAAAATACTTGGGATCCAGCAGTAGTTTTAAATTTTCTAAGGGAATGGAAAAACAAAGATATCACTTTGAGGAAATTGAACCAAAAACTTGTAACCCTTTTAGCATTGACCACAGGTCAACGTCTTCAAACTTTAGCCCTTATAGAAATCACGCACATTTATAAATCAGAGATCGAAATAAATATAGCGGTGCCCCAAAGAATTAAGACCTCTGGTAAAGATCGATCCCAGCCATTTTTCCACCTTCCTTTTTTAAACTCGGATCCGGAAGTTTGTGTGGCTAGGGTAATCCTTACCTACCTAGAAAAAACAGAAAATCTAAGGGGTTCTGAAACAAGTTTAATTCTAACCAGCAAAATGCCTTACCGTAAAGCATCTACGCAGACCTTAAGTCGCTGGATTAAGATTATTTTAGAAAAAAGTGGCATTGACGTACACAAATTTCCTGCGCACAGTACCAGGCATGCGGCGGGGTCTGCTGCAAAAAGAAAAGGGCTAAATATGGACACAATTCGTCTTTCCGCGTGTTGGTCTAGAGACTCTAGGATGTTTGCTCAAGTATATAATAGGCCACTATTGTCAGATCAAACATTTGCAGAAGCTGTACTTACATGTTAGTTATTAAATTTTTTTCTGAAAGATGTTGTTACTTACAGGGTTATAATTACATATATTACTTACTTTCTATTAACTAACACCATTATTACTATTACTATTATTATTGTTACTTATATTACTTATGTAATGTGACATTGTGAACATAAATTACATACCTACCATAGGTAATATGTAATATTATATAGGTAGTTCATTTTCTGTTTGGAATAGAAAATTCGCAATGTATGCAGTCTCTAATTGTTGCAATAAACTCTAAATATCTACGTATTACTATTTTTCGAGACGGGGCCGAATATAATCATAAGATCAAACGAACTTACCTGTGATGTTCGATCTTGATTATATAAAGGCCCCGTCGAAGAAAAATAGGGTCCCAACCCATCCCATTCCCCAAAAATATAATTGCAACAATTCATCAGCTTTAAAATGGACTGAGTACGATGACGGCAGCGGGGAGCGGCGGGAGGGGTTATGTTTGCTTTGAAATGTATGACCGATTCGCTAGAGATGGAGATACTACGTATTACTATTTTTCTTCGACGGGGCCTTTATATAATCAAGATCGAACATCACAGGTAAGTTCGTTTGATCTTATAATTAATATTCAGTTCGCTATCCTCAAAATCCTCCGTAATATGGGTTTCATTAACACATAATATAAGAGGATTCTTATCCAGTACCAGCTGTTTCAATTCATCAACCTTTCGTCTTAGGCCCTGTACATTTATGGACAAACAAATTTCTTGAACATACGTTGATTGCTATTCATATTTTGTTTTAAGCCTAGTCTTTTCCACTTGCCGAAGATATGAAGTACAATTTCGATCAAAAACAGTATGATTATATTCTATATTTTTTATCTTTAAGACATTGCTAATATATTCACAGTTGCTACAACGTTTATTACTGCTTGTACATTGATCTGCCTTATGATTGCCGGCGCATAGTGGACATGTAAATTGCTCTTGTTTGCAGAGATTTGCCATATGCCCGTATTTCCAGCATTTAAAGCATCTTAAAACGCTAACAAATTCATACAATAGAAAACTATCCCATCCAAAGCGTAATTTCTTTTGAGCAATAAAGTAATTAAATGCCTCATTTGATACCTCTAATAGCACATTAAAATGTTCCTTCCTACGAGGCTTATATTTCCCAACAAACGTTATTTCGCTTGTACCACACATGTCTTTCAATTTGTTTATAAATATATCAATCTCCCTCAGGTATTTATCATAAACACCAACAATAACAATTTTTGGTTTTTTAAACTCTGGTATCTGAATTTCGTACCGATCTGCTAGCGCGTTCCGGGCAGCCTCGTGTAGTTTTTGCATCGACTCGTCGTTTTCACATTCTATCTGAATCCCACCGTTAGCTGTATTTCTGACTCCGGCTATATTTATTTGAGATGGATCGACTTTGTTGGTCACATCTAACTTGGTTTTAACGCTGTTCTGTGACGAATTTTTTGGTTTAATTATCAAAGGTGGTCGTTTGGCTTTTACTACGTCACTCCACTTCTGCACGCTGGCATTGGGTGCTCTATCGTATAATGTTTTAACGACGCTGAAACACTCCTTGGTTTGTTGTAACACATCGTTGGTTTTTTGTTCAAGACTGTCCAATCTCCTCGATATTTTTAGGTTTTGTATAGCAATATTACTACAGTCATTACAGAACCAAAACAAATTCATACAATCGGCAATACACTTACTGACATTATCTTTTACTTTAACACACACATTATGGAAAATTTTTCACATAACTTACACTGAATTTGTTTACTGTTTACTATAAAATTATCCGTGCACACGGAACACGTCCGCACACCACTCATGCTGACTACTGACCCCCCATGATGGCATAAGCAGTGTAACAATCAATCATGCCAGGACACCGAACTGCGTACGGTTAGTAGAACTGAGAAAAGCTTCCTCTTGCAGATTTTTCCACAATCTCGACACCCTCGGGACAAAGGAGCGTTCGTATCGGCCAGTTCTGGATGTGCGAAGTTTGACACGGTTAGGATGCGAGGCCAAAGTCTGGCGGGTCCTGAGACTGTCTGTTAGAGAAGAGTCATCGCTCAGTCGGACAGCCCTCCTCTGGACAGCATCGAGCATAACTAATGTAGTCAGCAGCATCCCAAACGAGTGAGCAATACGAGAGGCTAGGCCTTATCTGAGCCTTGTACAGAGTGAGACGGTCATGCGGAGAAAAGTACTTCTTAGCCCTAAACAAATAGCCTAGCTTGTTCCTTGCAGCTGCCGCTATTGACGAGACGAGTTCGTGCCAGATCAAGTCATCGGCGATCTGGACTCCGACAAGCCGAAATGACGGTTCTTTGGCCATTAATTGAAACCGGATGAGAACTAGGACGCTTTTTGTTTGTCAAGGTACAGTACTGTGTTTTGGAAGGACTAAACTGTACAATATTTTTGCGTCTCCAAGCTGCGATAACCTCCAGGTCTCTTGTCAGAGAGGAAATCGTCGCTAGTTTTTTTTCCAGCTCAGCGGCAGAGATCAACTCGTCACTCTGAACTCCTGCATGTAGAGTGCTGTCATCAGTGAAGCTGTGTATTGGGTTGATCGTGCAGGAAAGGAGGTCGTTGATATGTAAACGTGACAGTGTCGGAGCCGAGACCGATCTCTGGGGAACACCCGCGTTGACGTTGTGGGATGAAGAGGAGAGCCCTTCAGTTACGACGGATATCTTGAGGCCAGACAAAAAGTCAGCCACCCGTTTGCAATGCATGGGAGGCCATAGGCTGGAAGTGTGCAAAAGAGGGCAGCGTGCCACAGCTGATCGAGCGCTTTCATGATATCAAGAGCAACGACATGAGCCTCACCATAAGACCATAGTTTACTATACAATTACGTGACGTAAGCTAGGAGGTGTCCTGTGGATCGCTGGTACCGGAAACCGTACTGCCTGTCGCTAATCAAGCCGTGACGTTCGAGGTAGTCCAGAAGCTCGCGATTTATGCACCTCTCCATCACCTTACTTATAACAGAAAGCAGAGCTATAGGCCTGTAGTTATAAGGGTCGGTCTTAGCTCCTTTTATGGGATGGGCTGAACATGAGCAAATTTCGCGTTTTCTGGGAAGGTGCCGGATTCTTAAGATATCTGTGAGAGACGCGAAAAATGGAGCAAGCTCAGCTGCATACCTCTTGTAGAATGGCAGGAATCAAGTCCGGACAAGAAGCTTTGTTGATGTCGAGCGACAAGAGCACTCGTCTTATGGTCTTATGCCTGAATGTTACTTCCTGCATATTGTAGGGAACCCTTTGAATCGACGGCATTTGGGCATGGTGGAGTTGGCAGCAAAGATATTGGCTAGCACTTCCGCCTTGGCCTTTAAGTCGAATACAATAGTTCCATCCTGACACGTATGTGGTGGAAGGCTACTGTGTGAGAAGTGCTTTTCAATCTGCTTGGCCAGCGTCCAGAAAGACCGACTGTCATTGCGCTGCGACATTACCATGTGCCTTACTGTTTTATCGTGCTGGCTTTTATCATTGCGAACCGTCGGCTTGTCTGCTCTCTACAGTGGTGTTTTGTAAGTAGGTTATGTGTACTTTGATCTTCTGCGTCAGCGAAACAAACATATGTCCAAGGTAAGGTAGAGAAGAAGTCTTTGAGTCCCTCCCAGTCGGCATGTCCGTAATGCCAAATTTTGCGGCCTGTGCCTCTATTCTTGACTTTAATAGAAAATCACACTCCCTCTCGTTTTCTACTCCCCCGGTTTTCTATCGATTCAAAAATACCGTATTCTTGAAAGGTCTCAATAGAAAGGAGAAAGGAAATCAAGACGCAGGGTTGCCAGGATGGGAGGAAACATGTTAAACCAATCAAAACGGCGATAATTTTGACAGTCGAAAACTAACCAATGATTTTGGTCAAGATTTCCTCCTTATAATTTTATCTATGGGGCCGAAAACTTAAAAATTACAAATGAACAAAAGGACAATTTGTTTGAATTTCTCCGAGAGCACCCCCAAATGCACCAGAGAATATCATAGATTAAAAGATACTGTTTTAGAATGACTAAAACTTAATATCTACTCTTGCCTTTGTTTTGATCGAAATTGCAGAAGCTCGTGGGGGTGGTTGTATGAATGCAGTCAACATCTGCAGCAATGCATACACCAAATCTTTGATCACCCTATAAATATATATAATATCTGTACAAATTTTCGATCCAAAATTATGAAAGGATCTCGGTGACAAAGAATATCTCTGCCAATCTCCCATTCCTCAACTGCCTACATCCTCGTTAATAATATCGTTCCAATACATCGATTGATTGAAATTAACCATTTTTTTGCAATATGTTTAGCAGGAACGACAATAAAAATGTCAATGTCAATTTTTAGGTTATATAGCGCTAGTTTCTACTAATTTTTCCAGTTTCTCTTGGTCGCTACCAAGAGAAATCGCGACTCCCTAAAGAGAATTCATTTCTGTCACTGTCACCCAGGGGAGACAGGACATCACTGCGTGGTCTAAAAGAGATCCAGCAGGCTACTGGCATGTGACGAGTCGCGGGGGAAAAAGTAGGGCTCGTCACCAGCTGGGTCAGCCCTTGACTAAGAGCGAACGCTTCGACTGCACGACCTGCTGGTCTTGTTTGAGCCCAACCAAAGCTCATTATGGGCATTGAAATCACCGAGAAGGACTACCTCTGAAGCGGGATGACTGATGTTGAGGAAGTCGATCTGGACGGCGAGGTATTCGAGTAGGTCGTCCCAGCAATGGTCCGAGGGAGAGCGATAAAGGCAGCAAATAAATTTGGGTGATGTTTTCGAGTTGAGTCGAAGCCACTTCCGGTCTGATTCCAAAGAAACAGAGCAGGAACGTCTGCTGCGGACAAAAGCCACAACCTTCCCGTTCTTTCTCAGATTAGAGTGCACCTCGTAGTTTGGGAAGTTAAGATGGTTAATCGGCGCAGACTCTGAGATTTTTGTCTCCGCGAAGAAAAGCGCGGCGGGACGATTGGATTGCAGGTAGTGATGAACAGCATCAATGTTGCTGTTAATCCCGCAGGTGTTCGAAAAACAAATTTTATCTTCGTTGTTGTTCCCTTGAGCCCACCCTCCATCTGGACATTCTGAGAGTGGAGTGAGTTCACGTCCGGATTTCTTAGTGCTCGAGGGATCCATCATCATTAGTTTCTTTGTTTTGGAAGATAACGACTGCATAGCTTAGGTGTGGAAACATGCAGATATTTGTAAGACACCCTTGGAAAAGCTAGCGGGTGGCACCGCCTCGGTCGACTGGTCCTTGTCTACCACCTTCTTTTTAAGTGTTGGCGATATTGAATAGACCTAAAGTGGCCCGTTG